CTGGAAGGGCATGAACAGGGGCAGAGAGGCTGGCAGAGGCGGTTGAAGCCTAGCCTTGTTTTATTGACTGAGCCACCAGGCCTCTCTGGCCCTCTGTTCTCTTGTCTCTAAGTGGGGCCAACGGTAGTGCCACCTCCCTGACTCAGGGGAGCACAAAAACAGATAAGGCACGTGAAACACATGTCAGGTCCTGTTCAACAGTCAGCTTTAAAGGGATCACAGCCAGACATAAAGAACTTCCAGGGCCAGCCAATGGTGTGGTGTTTAAGGTGGCTAGATCTCACACGGCTGACTGCCTAGTTCAAGTCCCGGACCTGGCAGCTTGAAAAGCACACTGGGTGCACGTGCACCTGTGCCCAAATCCCCAGAAGGGAATGGAGAAGAGGGGCCTGCACCAGCCACCCCCCTTATAGCTAAAAAGAAAAAAAAAAGAACATCCAGTGAACCAGTGGCTTCCCGGCTGCTCATAGGAGCTCTTCCAAAGGAGCCACCTCCTCACCCAACCCTCCACCCCACCCCTCAGCCCACCTTCCTTAGAGCCAGTAGCCGCAGACACTGCAGAGGCTGAAGCTGACCCAGTGGACGTCCGGCCCACAGGGCTGGAGTGCTTCCCCCCACGGCCAGGGGGCTTCAGGCCACTGGGCTTCTGCATGGTGGGGCCACTCGGTGGGTGGACGAGGGTCAGTGCTGGTCACGTCCTTCCCGCCATCCGCACTCGCCTGTGAGGAGATAATGAGAGAGATGTCATCGTGACGTCACCAGGGCCAGGGCCGCAGCTGCCCCCAGTGTACGCTATGCTGACAGGGCGCCTTCACAGGATCCCAGCACCCACCCATGAGGCAGGAGCCATCGTCATCCCCAGGTTCCAGACGGGGAAACTGAGGCACGCAGCAGCAGCGGTAAGCATGAGCTCAGGTTACAGTGTGGCAACACACGGGTCCAGGTCTGCTGGACGGCGTCCTCTCTGAAATCAGGAGCAAGCTGGCCTGGGAGGCTGTATCTGCCCCGGGAGCCCCACACGGGGCCACGGTCAGTACGGCCACCAACAGGCTGAGTTGGCGTGGCTCTCACTGCAAAATACTTTCCAGGGGCTCTCCAGACTCCTGAGGGCTGGCCAACAACTCACTTCCATCTTGATGAGGCCTGGAGGCAGCAAATCCTGACCCTGACCCTTAATCAGTTGGCTCCCTTTGCCAGTCAGTGCCGCACAGCTCTCAGACTCACCATCCCAGCACCAGCCCACTCCACCCGGGTGCAGGGACAGACACCCAGGGACGCCCACACCTCGCTCCCTCCCTGTCCGTGTGGCCACCTGTCTCAACCCCATACCAGGACGGACTCACGTGCCCTCTGCCTGCCTCTCCACCATCATATCTCCTGCCTTGATGACGAAGCAGAGAAGGGTCCACACGTGCAACTAACAGGGCACTCACACTTTACAGAGGAGACTCTCAGGAGGGGCCAAGGCTCTGGTCTCCAAGGCGATTAGTTCAGGGCACCAGGTCACACCAACATGGCAGCAGTTTACCGTCGATTGGAGGGATTATATAGGGATCGAAATTTAGGGGTTCATAACCTCTGTACTCTCATACCTTCAGTATCACTGGTGACCAATGGTTTTCTAAGTTAATTAATTTCTTTTTTGCATGAATGACAGAGACAGAGAAAGACAGCCAGAGAGCAAGCACCCCTCACAGGCTATTGATGCTAGGCCCCACCCAGACTCAGCCAGGCCCAGGCCACAGGCACACAACTGCCTGGCCTACTCCAGAGTCTCTGGACGTGGACCCAGAACCTTCCCGTGTGGTCAGCCTCACAGAGGCCCATATTTTACCACTGACCACCATTCAGCCCCACCTGTTTTCTTTGTTTTGTTTTTTTTTTTAAAGAGGTTTTTACCTTAGGACACGTGTGCTCACCAGGGAGAGACAGAGACAGACACAGTGGGAAGGAAAGTGAGAAATCACTCCCTAGAGGGGATGGCCAGGTCACAATCCCTTCTCTTCCTGGGATCTTGGGCAGGCACGTATGCACATGTACCCAGTGTAATTTTCAAGCCACTGGGTCTAGGACTTGAACCACAGTTGGCCACGTGGGAGTCCAGTGACGAAAGCACTGAGCGATCTACTGGTCCCTCACCTGTAGATTTTTGAATTTTATTTTCTACCTATAGATTTTACAGTTAGGTAAAAATTATTGATTTTATTATACAAGGGGGTCTTCACGAAGTCTACAGAAATGCATCTTAAGGGAAAATTATGCATGGATCTCAATCCTTTTCCAACAGAAATAAACTTATCCTTCAAATGCATTTTCCACAAACTTTTTGAAGTCCCCGCGTACACAGGATTGGAGGGTGTCAGGAAGGGCAGGCCCCAGCATTCCCCAGCCTCGTGTACCCACCGGCCTGTGCTCAGGAGCCCTTTTAGCTCCTAGTTTAGGAGGGCTCACCTGGACAGCCATCCTGCCTGAGCTGCAGACAGGGCTCAGCCTCTGGGTGAGTCACTGTCCACTGGGACAGCGGATTCAGAGCAGCATGGGTCGGAGGAGGGGCCTAGGAGGAAGCATCCCTCCCAAGGGTGACGCCTTGGGAACACAAGACACTAACCCTCTGGGCTCTCGGCTCTGATGCAGGAGGGACGCTGTACCCCTGTGCCTCTCGGCCACATCCCTGCCCCACTCCTGTGCATGGAATAGCATTCCCTTTCAGATAACTCTTCTCTCCAGCCTGAGCCCTTACGACTGACCCTGCTCCCACTCCTGGAATGGGCCTGTGTTTACGGGATACCCTTGGTCCCGACAGGGTGCCTGGCACATGCAGATGCCCACCAGATCACTGCCGGAGGACTAGATGAAGGAAGCTGGCCCATGAGGCCGAAACGCCCCCTTACCTCCCCCGGCCCGACACGCAGGACCAAATGGCTTGTGCTGATCAGCCCGGCCGGCTGTCTGGCATCACACCTCTCTACGCAGCAGGTCCCCACTAACCAGCATAACAGGGATCAGCTGTGGCCACTGTGGCCCCGACACTGGAGACTCCCTCACCAGCCTTGATGTCCTCACCCCTCGCCTGACACTTTCGCACCTCCAAGATGCTGCCTGTGCCTTTTCTTGGACCTGCTTCACTTCCTCTACTGATTATCTGGCCCAATGCCTCCTCCTCCAGGAAGTCTCCCAAGACCTTTGCTCCTGAGACCTCAGGTTCACATGCTGGGCCGAAGAGAGAGCACATTGCTCCCGTCGAGCTTCCCCTCGTTTCCGGGGGTCTCACGGGCAAGCTGGCTACGGCCGGTCTCTCTTCCCTAAGAACTCAGCCCCAGCTCCGTGCCTGTGCCCCAGAGATCCCATATGCAAGCACACCCGCTGTGGTCAAGAGGATACACATGCCAGGACACCCCTCCTGGGGAGCTGCCCGTGGTCCCCTTGCCCTCCAGCAGAACCCACAGTACGCCAGACCTTGCAGGAGTGTGGCTTCCTCAGCCCTCGCGAGCCCCTGGCGAGGGAGCAGCCGTCCTGCCGGGTGATCCCCGAAGCCCCCTCTGCTACGCGACTGTGCTGGCAATAGATCTGCACCAGGCCCTTCCCGACCTCCCTGTACGGCCTAGCCCAGCCCTGGAACAACATTTGTGAGACCCCTGGCCTCTGGGGACAGCATCCGCTTGCCACGGCTGACAAAGGAGAGCAGGGAGCTGGCGGCGGCGGAGAACCAAGGCGGCATTCAGTCAGCCTGGCCACCCTGCAGGACACGAGGGGGCAGGGGAGCAGCCCCATCCCCACAGGACAGCTGAAGGGGAGGGAGAGAATGGTGAACAGGAAGAGAGGAGGAGGCCAACCCCCCTTGGGTGACTCAGCTGTGCTTGTGGGACAGAGGAAGTGAGGGGGGTTCTTGGAAAATGCTGGGACGTGGTGATAAAGGGCCACTGGCCACACTGTGGCTGATGTGGGGGAGGCAGGGATAGAACAGGGTTAAGCCTGATGCAGACAGAGGTCCACACCCCAGACCACCAGGACTGGCTGTGGGGGCCTGGCCTAGCAGGAGCCTCGGTTTCACCCCTGCATGACTGGGTGCAAGTCCTGCTGCCGCATGGGAACTCCGAGTCAGAGAAGTGCCCAGGAGTGGTCTGGCCCATAGCACTGCCCGGGGTGGTGGGCCCCCGGGGGCCCTGGCGCAAACTCTGTACCCTGCGGGGCCTCGCCAGCCAGGGCAGGGCGGCTGCGACCAACAGGCCCCCTTTGTGCCGCCCTCAATGGCCATTTACCCAAGACAACTGGGCTGCGTTTCAGGGTTTCCATTTCAGCTGCCCGGAGGGGGTGGTGGCCGCAGTTTCAGTGGGGATGAGGCCCCAGGACGCTCCACCAATCGGTGGCCCCGACGGGAGGAGGACAGTGCCAAGTGGGGCAGTGGAAAGCCCTTCTCCACGGGGCGGCAGGGTAAGGCGGTGGGCCCCAGGAAACGGGCTGCTGAGGCCAGACTAGCCTGCTGAGAAGGAGTCCCCCGCACTCCTGCCGGGAGGGGCAGGCACCCTGGCAGGGACCTGGCCATACTCGGCTTTCACAGAGCCCACTCTCCCAGGGCCACCCACTTCCCCCTGCCCTCAGGGGTCCTGGCCCTGCCTCCTGACCTATGACCCCTGCCCACCAGGCACCATCCCTAAAGCACAGGGCACAGCAGCACCATGAGGGCTAGGGCTGTAACAGGGGGCCAGGGCACCTGAGGACAGAGGGTATGGGGGCCCGGCAGGGAAACGGGGGGAGGAACATTACTCTCTACTAGCTGGCCCAAAGAGCCAAGGGTCCAGTATGGCAGAAATGAGGGCAAGGCTGGGGACAGAGACCAGGGGACAGGCAGGGGTACCCCGGCTAGGCCCAGGGCATCAGGCTGAGGGGGTGAGGAGCCACAGAAGGACTTCAAGTAAGGGGTCTGACACCATCAGACGTGCATGTCTGCAAACCCGCTCTCGGGGCTGGTGAGGATGGGGAGCCTGGGCCAGCAAGACTGGCTGGGGGCTCCTGGGACAAGGAACACAAGATGAGTCCAAACAGGGGCCAGAGGGGACAGAGCGGGGAGAGACACAGAGCCAGATGGGCTGGCAGACAGAGTGGGCAAAGGGAAAGGATGGCATCCGGGGTCTCAACACATAGAAGACTCGACAGACGCTGGGGGGGACCAGGAGAAGGTGGGGGCTGGAGGGGAGACGCAAAGACACCGCAGGGCACCTCCTTGAGGGAAACCGACAACAGAGGGCCAGAACCAGATCTGCTTTCGCAGAAAGGCCTGCCGGGCTGGATAAGTGCCAGCCTCCCAGGAATCAGGGACTGCAAACCCAAGCCGCCAACCAGATGAGCAGCAAAAGGCTCGCAATCCCAGGTGGAGAGGACACAGGGCAATGGGCTGGAGGGGTGGGGGGGTGCGGGCACAGTGCCTGGGCAGGACCACTGATATGAGGGTGCACCAGACCCAGCGGGCAGCCTGACCCAGGGGCCTCAGAAGGCAGGATGCTCTGCAGCACTCCATGTAATAGCAGGCAGTCTGATTTTGAGGGGTGGGTGGTGACTGGGATGGGGTTCATTAATATCTGTACAGTTTGTTTCTTACTCTTGTGGGGTATATGTGGGTGTTCGCTGTATCCCGTCTATACCTTTTTTTGTTTTAGCTTATTTATTCCATCAGAAAGAGACAAAGAAAACAGCACTCCCAACAGGGTCTGAACACCGT